GGGGGGGGGCGGGAGATTTGAGAGTGAGAACCTCATAGTGCTACAATATTTTTGGGCTTGTGCTCCCCTAAAAGATGCTCCTTCCCTGCCCCATCCACACCCCAGCACAGAAATTTAGCCAAAAGGGAAGTTTCTGCCCTGGGGACAGGGCAGGTGATTCCCACCCAGACGGGTCAGGGTTTGTGAGAGATGGGGACATTTGTCAGATAAAATAGTCCCTTCTTGTCAGCAGAAAAAACCCCCACACCCCCCCACCCCCATAACCAGCCAAGCCCTGGAGGATTTGGCAACATTTCCCTGTGGCCTTGCCACACTGCTGGTGTCGAAAGTGAAGGTGGCAGGGGGAGAGCCGGGTCCTTTCCACCCTCCTCGGAGAGAAAGTGAATCAAAGACCCTGATGGGGGGAAGAAAAACCTCTGATCTGCCCCAAACCCTCTGTCTCCTGCTCGCTGGAGTGCTGGGGACAGGAGGAGGCTGCCAGGTTTTGTGGCCCCTTCCCTCTGCCCTTGGGCTGGAGACGGAGCGAGCTCTGCTGTATGACTGCAGAGCCCTCAACCAGAAAGCTCTTCCCAGTCCAAACTGGGCAGACTGGTGTGAGTGGGTGGCCGGCACCTAGGGGGAGGTGACAGGGCTGGGGACAGAAATGTCTCCTTTGCAGCTCCTCCTTCTCCTCAGCACCTTCTCTGCCGAGTGTGGCCGCGGCCGGAAAAGCGCGGCCACGACCACAGCGAGGAGAGCGGGGCCCTTCCTCCCCAGAGACACCGGGTCCCCTGGCCAGCCCAGGGAACAGGGACAAGGACAGGGACATTTGGAGGGCTCTTTCCCACCCAGCCGGTCTCCCTCCGGCCTCCGGGCCACCAGAAGACACGTCTCCCCCTTGGAGGGAGGTGATGGGTTGGTTGAGGACATGGTGGGAGAACAAAAATCCTGCTCAAGGATGTCGTTGCAGCCCTTGGAGGGGGTGTTGCAGCTCATGGCAGAGGTTTTGCAGCTCCTGGAGGGGTGTTGCAGCTCCTGGAGGGGTGTTGCAGCCCCTGGAGGGGTGTTGCAGCCCTTGGAGGGGTATTCCAGCCCGTGCAGGCTCTCACCCTTCACCTGATGCCCTCCCTGGTGTCCACAGGTTCCTCTTCTCCACCCCGAGGTGACATGGAGCAGCTGAAGTGACCCAAGGAGCTGTTGCAGTGAGTGGGGTCACCATGCACGGGAGCACCTTTGGGTGTCAGGGGGGACATGGGGTTCCCCGGGAAGCACAGCCCTCCTCACAGCCTGGTCCCTGCTGGTGGCAGTACCCACTGGGACCCTGATGTCCCCATGTCCCAGCCCAGCCACTCAGCTTGCTGTGCTGAGGCTTAGGGGGGGAAAGGGGTGTTGACAGAACCCCACTCCTCCCAGAGCTGTGATGGGCTCACCCCAGTGCCTCTAACTGGGAACACCTGTGGAGCTGCTGGGGGGGCACGTGGCTCACAGTCCCTCTGTCCCACAGGCCGTGGCCAGGATGGGCTGTGTGCACTGCAAAGAGAAGTGGTTGGGCAAAGGGCAGGCGGGGGGCGAGGGAGGGGCCACCCTACCCCCTGCCTCCCAGTACGACCCCGACCCCACGGGCACCGACTTCACCCGCATCCCCGACTTCAACAACTTCCATGGCACGGGGGTACCCACCAGTGCCCACTTCACGGGGCCTGGGGGCTTCACCTCCAACACGCTGCAAATGTCAAGCGGGGGCATCACAGGTCAGTGAGGGGAGGGGGGGAGTGATGGGTGCTGGGGAAGGGGGTCCAGCACACCCTTGAAGCGCTGGGGGGGGGACACAGGGGCTCACCACAGTGCCCCCCATGTGCCACAGGTGGGGGGGTGACACTCTTCATCGCCCTGTACGAGTACGAGGCCAGGACGGAGGATGACCTGACCTTCCAGAAAGGGGAGAAATTCCACATCATCAACAACACGTGAGCCCCCCCTCCCCCGGACCCTCTGCCACCCCCAGTGCCCCCGTGGCACCCTGGGGAGGTGCCTCCATGCCTGGCTCTGCCTTGGCTCCATTGTTGGATACAATGAGAACACGGGCTACATGTGTCCTGAGTTCAGCTGTCTCAGCAGAGACGGGTGCCCTCTGTGGTGGGGGAAAGTGGGGTCTGGGGGTGCTGTGTGCGGGTGCAGCGTGGCCAGATAGGTCTGTCTCTCCCCTCTCCTGACTCTTGGCCCCTCTTTCCCCAGGGAGGGTGACTGGTGGGAGGCCAGGTCGCTGAGCTCGGGTGCCACGGGCTACATCCCCAGCAACTACGTGGCCCCCGTGGACTCGATCCAGGCAGAGGAGTGAGTACAGGGGGGAACAGGGATGGAGGGGGACCCCGACCCCCTTTACCTCAAGCCCCTTGGCACTCCCTGAGAGCCCTGGCAGCGCGGTGGTGCAGGTGGGGAGGTCCCTTTGGCTGCCCCTCGGGGCTGTCCCCTCTGATCCCATCCCTTCCCAGGTGGTACTTCGGGAAGATCGGGCGCAAGGACGCGGAGCGGCAGCTCCTGTGCCACGGGAACTGCCGGGGAACCTTCCTCATCCGGGAGAGCGAGACCACGAAAGGTACAGGGACAGGGATGGGGACACCAGGGTGGCTGAGCTCCACTTCCCTCCCTCACCCCTGTTCCCACCTAGGTGCCTACTCCCTCTCCATCCGGGACTGGGATGAGGCCAAAGGGGACCACGTCAAGCACTATAAGATTCGGAAACTGGACAACGGGGGCTACTACATCACCACCCGCGCCCAGTTTGACACTGTCCAGCAGTTGGTCCAGCACTATATTGGTAGGGTGGGATGGGGGGGCATGGGGAGGGTGATGGGGTGGGGTGGGGAAAGCCCAGGAGACCCTTCGCTGGAGACAGGTGGCTGGGCGAACTGGGTCTGACTGGAGAAGGAGGAGGAGGGCTGTTCTGGTGGTGGCACTGGGGGTCCCCTCCTCTTCTGTGTCCTCAGTGCTGGGACCACCTGGCCTCTCCGGACAAGGTAATAGTCCCTGGGTCTGGGTGGGCATCAGCTGCTCCCCAGGCACAGCTTGAGGGGGGGGGGACTGGGAGTCCAGGGGGTTCCAGGGTGATCCTTGGGGGAGACAGAGGGGGGTTTACCTCACTTCTGTGCATCCATATTGAGGGACGGTTGGACCACGCAGGAGCCCCGGGTGATGCCAGGGGGTTGTGGGCTGTTGGCAAAGGGCTGGTGGGGGGGTCAGTGGCTGGGCTGACCCCCGTGTCCCCCCTTCCCTGGTGCTGCAGAGCGGGCGGCCGGGCTGTGCTGCCGCCTGGCCGTGCCGTGCCCCAAGGGGACCCCCAAGCTGGCCGACCTGTCGGTCAAAACCAAAGACGTGTGGGAGATCCCCCGCGAGTCCCTCCAGCTCCTCAAGAAGCTGGGCAACGGGCAGTTCGGGGAAGTCTGGATGGGTAGGGCCTGGTGGGCAAGCTGGGGTGGCTGGAGACAGGGGACATACAACGGGGACACCCCCAGGCCTGGCACCCACCCCCCCCCCTTCCCAGGGAAAGGCTCCTGCCTGCTGGGACAGGCTGAGCCACACCAGTTTACCAGGATGGAGAAATGTCCCACGTCCTACTCTGGGGTGACCACAGGATACCCCGTGATGTCCCTATGTGGGGAACATCATTTCAAACAGAGATCAATTTTCCCACAAGCAGAAGACACCATCAGGCCTGGGGGTCCCCCTCCTTGTCATCCTCTGCCTCCCTCACCCCGTGCTCCCCCCGCTCGGCAGTGCATGCTCCATTCATCCCATCGCACCCCCCTCCTCC